TCTGAAGAAGGCGAAATTCGCCGAAACGTCAGCTTAATCGTGAACAAAGAATAATAACACCTCGCGTTTGCTCAGCAAAAAGTGCGAACAAAATCACTTATTAGAAAGTAGTAAACGTCCCTATATCACCAGTTCGCAGATGTTTTTCCTATAGAACAGGCTTAGAGAAGGTGAAATCTGGTGGACCAGGAATGAGGAACAATGCGGCTGACATTGACCAGCAGGATGCAAAATTAGACGAATTTCAATGTTGTGCACTATGATACAGATTTTACCGTTTTACGCCATGAAACAATTTTGCTGTTGTTACAGTATGCCCGGTCGTCCGTCACACATAAAGATATTGATAGCATTCAATCCTCCTGTCATTCCGTCACGAATTATGCCTCAGCGACGAGTAGAGTCACTAGAAAATGAGAAGGTACGATCGATCTCCATGTGCGATAAAGTGGTAAATGATAGACTACGTAGTCGCTCAGTAGATTCATCGCCCACTACTCTGAGCCTTCGAGAACTTTTGGATTCTGTTTTCTTATTTTTCCATTAATACTTATAATGGAGGCCTTAGAATTTACACCTACACAGATTCTTTCACAATGCCATGTATGGTCGAACACCTGCAGCTCGATGTACGAGTCTCGTCGCTATGTTGCTCTTGTCACCGACATTAGCGGAAAATCCGTTTTGGCTTCCAGGTGGGGATATTCAAAGTTCTACATACACAGCAACGAAGAGCTAATACAATGTGGTTTTTGAAGAAAAATGCCCTGGACGTGGTCTTTTTCTTGCGAAAAATTCGCTCGAAACAGCAGCTTCCTTCCTAAGAAAAACAAATACAGTAACTGGTGACCTAATCATCTTATTCATTAATACTCAAGGTTTCTTTCTCCCGTTTCTCCACCATCCTCGGTGCCAAAATCAACTACCGAGCAGATGCATTCTGTGAAAATTGCTGCTCAACTCGTGAGTATGATTCCATTCGTCACCGATCCATCGCTATTTCCTGGTTCGACAGACGTTTGGACGACTATTGAGAAGGTTTACTTTCTCTTTTTTCATATTAATCGGGTTTATAACTGACGCCTTTCTCTAATCATTCAGTTTTCCCTTCCTGGTTAAGGTGGTTACAGGAAATCACAAGTGAGCGCGATGTGACCATTTATCGCAAATTATCCGAATATAATGTTAACTTTTTCTATATTCTGCCTATTACAATTTTCACGACAGGGTATTATGCGAAATCAATAACAATAATGCTGAGATATTTGCAAAACTCCGGACAGCGTGTCTGAGGTGGGGATCGAACACGCTATTAGCCTTTCAAGGAACTAACGCGTTCACCACCACACCATGCAGGTCCTTAGGTTAACTGGCTTCAGTTCGGCTTCCAGATGAATCCCGTTGACTGGTGATTGCTAATGGCACTTATCGATAGAAAACCAGCTGAGAGAAATGAGAAACGAAGGACCCACATGGCGTGGTGGCGAACACGTTAGCTCTCGGAAAGAGTAATAGTGCGTTCGTTCCCCACCGCAGACACCTGTGGTCCGGAGTTTTGAAAATATCTCAGCATCATTGTGGTTAATATCCGAATATAGTTATTGTTGTTGTTACAGTTTTTGTCGATTGGTTGTGGTGATGAGGAAGAGCATGCTGTACTACTATGCTGCTGGCTCCTTTCACTACAAATACCCAGTTGTTTAGTTCTTGGTGAGTGGTCTTCCCAAAATACTGTCAAATCTAATGTCACTACACATTTCACACTTATGCGTTTTTTTTATAGGATCTGGTCTGCCTGAAGGATTGAATGCTGCGTATGTATTCGTGAATATGCACGATGGTATTTATCTTGTGAACCCTTGTAATGGTAAATGTTGGAAAAGTATAATCCTTCCCATATCTAATCAATACCCATGTTTATCATTACTAGGTTCGGTCTATTCGTCGGCAGACACTATGTGTCCAATTATTTCTATCGGAACAATTATTACTCCCACTAACATCTATGGAAATGTGCAACCGTATTCACATCCTAGTCAAATGAATTTCGATCTAAATGTGAGTTGTAGATCTCTAGAAAACTTTTTACCCTTAGAAATTTAAAATTCTCCTTTAAAAATCAAGAAAAATGAAGAACCTAAGAAGAGATGGTTCCCGATAGTCAAAATTTTGATGAATTCACGATGTTTTGGTTTTGAGGAAAAAATTCTAGCTTTCCATTGCAGAAGACCAGCGATTGGAGACCCGTTTTCGACAAACAAATAGTCGATCTTCGTTCTGTTCAATCCGCAACCATTTCTTATACACAGGTAATTTCTTTTATTCTGGACGACTGGTCTTTACATCCACTATGTAGATCCCAGCACTTCTTGCGTTTAATCTGTTTCCTCGCATCCATTAACCACGAAGGCCTTCAAACTTTTCGCGTGTGCGTTTGGATGCCGCTTTCTTTATGAATGTCACTAAATGCTGGTCTAGTCAATTCTTCCTGGGGATAGAGGAGCTGGACCGTGTTCCCACTTGAGTTGCAGGGAGTCCAATTTTTCCGGACAACTCCTATACAAATTTCCCGACTCCGAATGGATGGCAGAATTGATGGAAGTGGGATAGCATCGAATCAGTTAGTAGTGAACAGAATCCCTACCACTGCACTATATCCCCTCCCCTTTACCTTAGAAACAGATAAACGTTGTAGACTACAGAAAAACATAACTGTGTTGAAAACTAGAAAACACAACTGCAGTAACAGTAAACTGGTACGGTAGCTGTTTCACTACAAAAGCAACGGTATTCCTAATGAAGAAATAGGGCACATATAGTCATAAGTAGTTGGTCCGTCACTAGAATCAATGCACCTAAGATTTTGTTTACCGCTCAATTAAAGCGACCATAAATGTACTTTCGAAAAAGTTAAAGTTATTCCAGTTGACGGGTGATTGCTGAAAGCACCGTTAGGGTAAAAACTTGATGAGAAAGAGGCAAAACAAGGACCTCGATTGGTGTGCTCGTCAATTCACCTATTCTGTTCCATGCATCGCAAACGATTCGTAACATTGAATGAAATAAAATTAAACAGCTGCCCATCATTTGACCAGTTATAGACTACAATTTTAACGTTACTTTTAGGTGTCCGAAGACGCACTAGTCGAGCTAAGGTCAGCGATTGAACGTGAGATAAAATTGTCCTTTGATGAGGCACGACAATACGGTATTCCGCAGTGGAATCTGATGGCGTCAAGGTGAAGAAGAACTCGTTTTGATTCCTTGAATACAAAACAAGTTAGAATTTCTCTACTTTTGGTCCAATTTAGCCGCACTTTATCACTTCTGATGTTTGAGCCCGTATTTCCGCGATATTCCCGGAAAATACGGCTGCAATATTTTTTGTTAAATTTTTCGCCATAACAAAAAAACTGGCGCATGTGGCGCAGTGGTGAGAGGCGCCCTGCAACACACTCGAGGAATCGATCACGCGCCCATGGTCCACCGAGCCCTCCATCACTCCGGGGTTGGCAAATTAGTACCAGACTTGCCTGGGCGGATAGCAGTACTGGCTCAACACATCGGTAGGCCACCGGGAATCATTGTAAAGGCCAGATGTGCATTCAATCACCTCCAAATGGTGCTTAATGAAGTCGAATGCATGGCGCATACTTAGAGGGATTGATCAACGCTGAGGGCTTTATCCTTTATCCTTTTTAACAAAGAAATCACAAGTGGAGACATTTCAACTATAGTGTGAAGATAAGTAAACGAATAAGTATACTAAGTACTCTCTTCATAAGGAGGCGTGCAACTGTTGAAGAGTAATGGATTATTGAGAAATTTAGTAATGAAGAAACAACAATCGTATATTACGACTGTGACAGGATACACACTCGTCCTTATTTTTATAAAGGATCTGGAAAATGTTAAGGTTGTTGCGTGAAATCATTCAAGACGAGCAGGGGTCGATCGACGAACGCTTGGCAAGGTTAAGAGAGTCTTATACCGTAACGGCAAGCTCAATTACGATACCATACAAGAATGTTCAGGTTTGTGACTCTTTAGAAATTATGTGCTGATTGGTACTGTACTTCTTCGAAAAAGAAGAGAAGCAGTGGATGATTTTGTGGAATCATGAAGTAAAAACTACAATTACTTTCTGATTAAAGGACTGCGTGAATGCGGTTATGCGATGCTCTGTACACACGACAACATCGGTGTCTACACAGTTCGCACTAGCAGTTCATCTACAGTCAGCTTTTGATCATGTTATCATTTGTAATATTGGTGTTGGCATGCTCACGCCTAAAAAATAAAGTTTTATGTTATCAAGATGAATCAATTTCTGAAAGAATATCGGCAATGAACTTCTCTCTTGAGCCGAGCCTGTCAATTATGCTCCGCTCTTCATAAAATCGCTTATAAATTGTAAGTGGACATCCAGGAAGAGTTAACAATTCACTAGCGGTGGAAAATCTTAACAAGTGTTTGATGCGACGACTAGAATGACAATGCGATCCGGAGTTTTGCAAATATCTCAGCATAATTGTGGTTACATTTCACATAATACCATGCCGTGAATAATTACAGTAGACAGTAAATAACATTTGACATTTGATATAGTCTACCCTCAGTCCTCGGAAGGGAGATAACGCAGTGGTTAATGATGAAGTCCACGGTCTCGGGTAGACCCATTATCCCTCAAGCAGCAGTGTAAACAACACGCGAAATGTTTGAAAGTCATTGTGGACGATGAATGCAAACGAATCAAATGCAAGTGCCGGAATCTGCACAGTAGATGTGATAATGGGTCATGTAAGTTCTAGATTTTACTTCTAATATAAGTCATCTGCAATATTCCACTGAGTGATATACGTCATGCACGTTAAAGTAAGTATAACGCAACTAGTTACTCGGATACTAAAGATGGCCCATAATCACTGGATGTGCGGACCTCAGCATAATTTCCATTTTGTAGGGATTTTGTAGTTTAGCTATTGTGGTTTCCCTGGAGTACCGAGGTCAGCCAAGCCAAAGCCTGCCTCAGGTTATCACCATCACAGGCAGTCGCCACCATTGTGGATCAGAGAGATATTTACCTCTATGCGACTAGTTTAATACCAGGCCGGTGGTGATTCCTAGTATTAATTTACTTTTAGCTGCGCTTACAAATGGACCTAGCACCCAGGAGCACCCCCAGCCTAGATAATGCGGTAAAGTGTTGGGAGGAAAACGCAATTAAATCGTTGCATAATGATTATGTATTTTTTTTCTTTGATAAGCTTACACGTGGTTGGCGAACAATTTTTGGCTACCAGACGTACGGATATTTCAAAACCGACCTTCCTTTAACATTGGTATTACTAATCAACATGTATTCTTTCTTTGATTAGCTTGAAATATTGTTACTGCTCTTCGCTAGCTGATAATGGTACCGACTTAAGCAGGATGGATTGTCCTAGAAAAACAAGTTACTTTCACCGGACAATCACTATTGTCAGCCATCAGTATCCTGCATAAAAGAGCTTAACCGAGTGAGTATGGTAATCTCATTCGAGAGATGGTCCCCTGAGGAAGACACTAGTCGATACGAAGGCGAAGACGCCACATCGAGACGAAAACGAACTGTGGACTACTGACTCGGATCATCGGCTGTGATGAAGACGAAGACATCGAAACGTTAGCCGAATAAAAATTGCTTACCAGCCTCGTGTAAGCTCGTCAAAAAAGAATACATGTTGATTAGTACTACCGAGGTTAAAGGAAAGTCGGTTTTGAAATAGTGATTGAGGAGTTACTTTTCACTCCTGAGAACTGCATGGTTAAATCACAATGTTTAACGTTTTGTTTTCTGCCTTCTATAATTTTCATGGCAGGTTACTAAGCGAAATACAACCACAACGTTGCTGAGATATTCGCAAAACTCTGGACCGCAGGTGTATCTCAGCAATGTTGTGCATGGTTAAAGTTGAAGCCATCACTTTTTTCTTCTCAAGATTCCATAATCAAGACATTGAAAGCCAATACAATACCAGGCTAAATCCAAGCACGAATAACTCGTCGAATATGAGCTGTTACAGCGTAAAATCTACAATTACACAACTTCAAAAATAGGAGAAAATTCAAGAAGGAAGCAAAAACCCATGACAGAAGTACTCGCTATGAATGATAAAACCTAATCGTAGCGCTGCAAATTTTCGAATCCACAATAGTCAGTGACTACCTACGTTGAAAGAATGAAAGGCTCTTCAACTCCTTGGCTGCAAGACATGTCTTACAACACATGAATAGCTCGTAGTTCACACCCATCCCGCCACAACTAAGCAGTTGTCACTCATGACCTGGAAAACTGGGACCATATTTGGGTGGAAGAGTCCTTTTATGCCGGCTAATTCGTGGAATACATCTCGTCAAGTCAAATGAAGAACATGAATAATCGCTTAGCTCAACATAGAGTGTTCGATTTCGTATGATTTTGACGCGCTGGACTTTTTGTTGACGCTATAGAGCGAATCTAAAGCTTGCGCAGTTGAACTATTGCATAGTAATATTAATAGATCAATCTTTCCAATGATTTACCGCCTCATGATGGCTGGGAGGTGTTTCTGGGGGTCGCGGTCCGATGTACAACGGGAGGGATTCATCGTTCCAGCAGGATCAACCACGTTAAGGAGTCCGGTGTTTATCTCAGGAAGCATGGTTAAGAGTTAACCAATACCACGATCCAACCACCGTCCTGGTAACAAAGTCGCATGGTGGCAACTCACTCTCTGATCCACAAGGGTGGCGACTGCCCGTGGTGGTGTTAACCTGGGTAGACTTTGGCCAGGCTGTCCTGGGAACTCCAGGGAACCATAGTGGCCAAGCCAGCAAACCTCCAAAGAACGGAGATTATGCTGGGGCCCGCGCAAACAGTGAAGACGGCCCATCCAAGTATGCAAGTGAGTACCAAGTAAGTAATACAGAAATAAACGTACAATGAGATTAACATAGTGGCACATGTAGGACTGAAACAGATGTGACGCTTTGGTGATATTATGACAACAATACGCTTAACATGCGACAATGATTAAAACTCCTTCCATTTATGGAAACTTCAACAATTAAGGTCAATAACGTGGGATGAAGCGAGAGGATGAAGACTTTGACAGTATCTAAACGTGTGGTGGCTAATGTTTCTATTCGATCTATCTTAGAAGTCACTAGCTTCCACCTCGTTTCGCACGAACGAATATTTTGACATAAAGAAAAAAATGCAGCGCGTCTTTCAACTTTCTCAAGTGTGTAGGTGTAAGGATACAATGTCATTACTGAGATCTTTCAACCAGCTCCCAAAGCGATGAATTAGGTCATCGTCAGCATGCGATTTGCAGAAAGTACAACAAAAGACAGTGATTCATGTCCTCTCGATAAATAAATACACGAGGTTGTGAATATGCTTTTAACACTAGCTGATGGTTCAGCGGTTTCGCCTTCTTTAGAAAGTGGAAAAATCAACTGACAGCAATGTGAGCGTTAAAAGACTTTCACAACTTTAGCAGAAAAGAAACTAACACATAGATTACCACTACCATAGCAAACGGATCTCTTCGAACAGTTGCCGTTTGATCCCTGTCACATCGCCGGGTGAGATTGGCTCATTCGAGTGGTGCTACACTGAGGAAGATCCGACCCGATACGACGATGAAGATACCACATCGAGTACGAACAACTGTGGACGTCGACGCGGGTTTAGCTTATCAGTGAATGAATCCAATTCACTGTCTCCATCGAAAATGAATGAACACAACGTTTTACATCAGCCGAGCTAATGGTCGTTTACAGGAGCATTTAAGCAAAAGCTGTTCCAACATTGATCACTGTAAGAACTCTGATTAATAAACAAGGAAAAATTCCTGAGAAACTAAAATTTAATTCTGACAATGCCGTCATTATGAGCTGTTTCATAAATAACAGCATAAAAATAAAATAAGTGGTAGTAAAAAACAGAATAAAATAATAAAAAAGTTAACACTGTGATTTATACTACGACCCCAGCTTACTAAGTTTAATGCCGACTTGTGCTCCCTAGGTCAATACTGTTGATGGGTGATTGCTAATAGAAGCATTAGGTAGAAAATTGGCAGAGAGAAAAGCAAAACAAGGACATCAGTGATGCCGTGCGTAGCACATGAGTCCCCGGAAAGGGATATCGCGGTTCAATCTGTCCTGCCGTCCTAGTTTTGCAAATATCTTAGCATCATAGTGGTTGTATTTCA